AAAGTATGATATTTAAATTATTCAATTCAATTCAATGTTTATTATCTTGTGTGAAAAAAAGAACTTGGTCCCCCTGGATAATTAGGGGGTTTTGCACCATCATATTTGACCAATCAATTCTAATTCATGGACATACAGTACCCCGCCCAAAACATACCAAAAGCCAATTTTCAATATTTTAGTAATTCTAACATGGAACAGTATTCAAGGAAAGAGAACTTTCCGATACCAAGCACCAATGCTCTGGAATGATCTTCGGTAAATGTTACCAATCTTTTGATCAATACCCGATTCACACGTACAAAAATCCACCAAAATCTAACAAAATGTAACAAATTCTTACATTTGCCCTAGCGTGTGAATGCACATCCTTGTAAAACAAATGTAACATCCGTGTAATAGCTCGGTAATCTTTACCGACATCAACGAGGTCTGTAAAGATTACCGAGATGTTACATGACGATGACTGCGCATGTCCAGGAATTTTAATCGAATCGACATGTCAGAAATTTCGCCGACAGCTTTTTACTATGCTGATGAATTTGATTTCTTTGAACATTTGCTGCAACGGTGAGTAAAGTAGCCTAGCCTAGGCCTAGCTTGTTCAATTTTCGGCCGATCTTAATATAATAAATATATACTTCCTAAAACCCTCCTTTTTTAGACTCCTGTAAACTTAGGATATATATAACACCTATTTGAATGTGTCTCTCCTGACCTAGGCTAGGCTAGACTGCGTGTGTGTTGCTCACGGACTCGTTGCTCTCAACAGGAGTCAACGAAGTACATGGATGGAAATTGTACATGTGAATACGAATAATCTCAGTAGGAATATCTCGGGAGATATCCCGGTAACAATTTGGTACATTTTGTTACATTTCATTCTACGTGTGAATCGGGTACAAGTTGATATTCAAATATTTCTTATATTTGTGCATTGTAAATTAATTTTTTTTACCACTTTTTTATATTCCCTTCATTTTCTTATGTTTTGATTTATATTACAGTATGTTTACTCTACCAAATCTGAACCCCTTGGGAGACCAGTACTTAAATTGTAATGAAAGAAATTTCTAGAATACAGGAACATTTGTATTGTATTGTATTGTACTGCCTGTACAGGTCCTCACCATATCTTTTTAAACATTAGGGATAACCCCATAGCCTAACAATTTTAGAACATATAAAACTTACTGTACTTTAAATCCTATCATAACAGTTGACCCCATAGCATAACACTTACTTGACCCCCAATATTTATCTCCATTACTCCATATTACAAAAACTTGTTGTGTGAAGGGAATTATAGTTGGCTAATAAATATGATTCAAGTTCAAGTAAAAGGTATACCAGCCAGATGCTAAAAGATATACTATGTTATAAATAAATATTACATATATTGTATATTCAATACTGGCAAATGTTATGAAATGCTGACTATGCTTTTAGCTGAAAGTTATTGTTATTTATTTCAAAATATACCGATATTTGGAGGAACCTTTTGACTTCCTAATTGATCTCTAATTAAATTTTCTGATTTTGAGAAAAAATATTAAGTTTTATAGAATTAGTGTGTTTTCTGATGTCTAGATGCAGGAAAATCATTTTTGGGGATTACCTATAAAAGATCGAATCTTAAGCAAGACACACACTGCATTGGCTGATTGTGAAAGCAGATCATCATTATTGAAAAAACATTTTTACTCATTCCTCTTTGTGTTGTGGTCTCTGTGGAATTACTTAGTGTTTGCCCACATGTTTTTTTCTGTACGACACAACTATTACAGTGCACCCTCAAATTCGAGACACCTCTGATTCCGAGACTCGTTTAATTCAAAACGACCATTTCAAAGAACCGAACTATCTTCAATCTTTTAACAGAAAGCTAACCTCTAATTAGTGACTGAACCCTGACACCACCCCAGATTTTCAGGTCTCAAAGGTGGTCTCAAATTGGAGAGCAAACTGATATTTGTATTTTCTGCTCTCTGGATAGAAGCCAACCCTTTCAAACTTGATCCAATTTCTTGTAGGCCTATAGGTGTGCATTTTAGCCAATGATCTACAGTATATCCAGCTTGATATCAACAAGGTAATTAATATGCCAATTTCAACAAAAAGGCACACCTATCATGAAGGCCATTCACACGATCAAGAAAAAAAATACAAACTCAAAAGTATTACTTCTATAAATGTGAGTCCCAAATAATACAGCATGAATGTAGACCATTAATAAGCATTTTAGGAGGAAATTTAAATAGTACTGTACCTTACGATAGGAAAATGATGAGGTTGATTATCATAAAATCGTAAAACCTTGAATAGAAGCCCCATGGCTTACGCTCGTATTCTTAAAACAAACTTTAGTCGAACTTCGAACTAGAACTTCATTTAATGCTAGTTGCATCTTTAACTTCAATTTTGTTTGTATTCACAAACAATGTATTTGAAGTTTTAACTCAGACTAAATCAAATCCTAGTTTTAGTTCAACTGAAGACGACTGGCAAGCCACGACTATCAAACTAACCAATGAAAAGGGATAACTTTAATAGCAGACGAAATTTTAGAGATCCGGTAACGCGGATGAATATTAGTCTGCCGTCTTTGGTTCAAAAACGTATTTCCTCATAATTCATACTAGACCATCATTCCATTAATTAATTTTCTAAAATAATAACTATATTAGTTGTTAACATATTACAATAGAGAATTTGAACAGACACTAAAAATTTGCTTTCTTTGGAGAACTATTATAGTTGAGCCCGAGCAAGGGCGGCACCATCTTTGTTGTTGTTATTGTGAAGCTACGTGATCACAACGCGAGGGGATTTTGTGCAAATCAGCAACTATCGCATGTGGCTAGCAAAACATGTTAATTTCTCCTTCTGGAAGCTAAACTTGATGTCTCTTTTGTTTAACACACCGAAGATATATCAAACCTGCGTATACAATCGTTTTTATTCGTTTCATTTTATCGTGAGTTACAAAAAACACATTTTTAGTGGGGCAAATATTTCAAGTCGGCGATTTAGCCTGACCCTAGGCTGACTAAAAAAATCGGCCTGCGGAGGTATCATTTTAGCCGAGGTTCACGTCATTTAGTCGTAGTGCTAGTCGAAGTTCGTTTTAAGAATACAAAATGACGTAATTTTAAAGTTTTAGCTCGAACTACGACTAAAGTTCGTTTTAAGAATACCGGGGTCAATCTCAAGTAGAAGCCCATCTCGAAAAGAAAGCCCTTCTTCAGTTTGCAAAAGTAATCTCAAAAAGAAGCCCATGGGCTTCTAATCAAGATAATATGGCCTTCTTTCGAGATAGTACTTACATTCAGACTGATGTTGTCTTTGATGATTATAATAGCATGTCAGTATTAATAGTATTTTATTGTACTACTACAGTAGCATGATTAAAATTGAGAAAAAATATTAAACAGAATTTTGAATTCCAAAGTTGAAAAATGTTGTATAGTAGCAATCCTAAATTTACAGCGTTCATTTAAAAAAAGCCCCCCACCCCCAATTTTTAGTTTGCAAAAGTAATCTCGAAAAGAAGCCCGTCCTAGGGTCCTAAAAAAATAGAAGCCCAGGGCTTCTATTTAAGTTTTTACAGTATGTTTTTAAAATGTTGCACAATCAAAAGAAAGTATCAAAGCATAGTAATAATCATATTCACTAGTTTACTTGCCTACTTTTACCCACCTCTTGTTGATATTTATAATTCAGTGAAAATGAGAAATAGAACAACTTTGATGAGAAAAGCATTCACAAATTACTTGTGATGTACAATATTCATGTTCATTACTTATGTCAAGTTCATTTTGTCAAATTCAATTATTATTAATTGAAAATGATTAACTCATTTCTAATGCCTAATGTCTAATTCCCAGTACTAGTACTGTATTAATTTTCATATTAATTATAAAATAATCTATAAATATTATTAAATCTGTATTATGTCTAGGATTGTAATTTAATTTATATTGTGACAGTTCTGTGGTTTTTGATGAAATGAATTATTCTGAAACTACATTAATATTATCAATAATATTAACAAAGTTAAAGAATTCATAACATGCAAATATATTTACAGTGACAACGTATGGTAAACTTAGTTTCGTAACGAAGGGGCCGGAGCCCCAAGACACTGGTGGGGTCTGGCATTTTTTATGTATCGTGATTTGACTCCAAAAATGCATACTTAATTTTAACTAAGATATCACTACTAAACATATTCCAATAAATACCAAACAAAACGAGCAAATTAAAATCAATAAATATTTATGGACAAAAACATATCTATCATACTCATGTGTCAATGCTTTTGCTCCTGGTGTAATTTCATGGTTTAATTTCACTCGGCAGACTTAAGCTTGCAAAAGGGCCTTGGTTATTTGTTTGTGAAAAAAATAGTTTGAATTTGATTTGGGGGTTGGGCCCTTAAGGCTCCGGGGCCCCTGGCTTCCGCCAGTGGGATCTCATAGCCGTTATGCCGCTGGGTATACAGGTATCTGACAACCATCAGTAAGATATCAGTACCAAAAGCAACTCTTCTGCTCCTTTTTTTATTTTTATCCGAGAAGCAGTTATGAAATATATTCAAACTCCAAGGCCATAATTTTGCCTAGAGACATGATGTATTATTATTAATCATAATACCACTGCAAGAAACATGTTATATAATCATTTAAAAAAAAAATTCTGAGAAAGAAATTAATTTGATATACTAGCTACCTTTTTTCACACATCAACAGCTGGGGTAAGATAAAAATGCCATCTTTTCTGATAGTCTATCATCCTTGAACTTCCATTACCACTCACTGTTGTATTTTTAGAAGCAACAGATTAATTTACCTAGGTATCCAAATGGTTAGTTCCAAACCATGTAGTAGTATCCTACACAAGCCGTCCAGGCTTACAGAGATCCATGCATACTAGCTCTGTGCTTGAACGACCGTGAAGAACGGGGAATTTGCTTACAATCTATTTACTTTCCATTTCAGGAATGCTAACTGTGTTTCACAGAGTGTGAAGGTATAAAATCTTATGCAACAGGCAAGTCAGCCCCTGTTGAGGAGATCTCTAGAGACTATTTAGTGGAAAAAGTTATTAGTTTCAAGATTGCCTGCAAGTTTGAATTTGCTGGAGAATTATATACAAGATTGTTCGAAGAAATTTCCTGAACCAAAGGTATGATTTTTTGTATTAAATACAGAATTGTGTATTTTATATTTTGTGATACCATCCAGTTTGCATCTCTTTTGGTTTCTTTGATAAAACTTTCTATTACCCCAAAGTATCGCTCAGTTAAGCATCAGTTGGTTTTTCGACAAATGAGGAATTCATGTCTGTCTAGTGTCTTAATCACTAGGTTTTAGTTGTACATGTAGTAGGTGTTGTTTTCTTTCGCTTCCAGCAAAAAAAAAAAAAATGTCAAACTGATTTAAAACATAAAATTCATTGTTTGAAGGTTTGCATGCTGAAGTGACAATAATGCCTGTGGTACACCACATACATAGTTCTGAAACTACCTTTTCAGACATACGTATGTGGTTTACCGCAAGCATTTATTATTAACATACAATTCAACACTAATAACATGCTCCTTGATGATTTTTTTTTTCCAATATCCAATTAATCTAAAGAAAATCGTGGTTTCTCATTAGGTTAACATTAATCAGGACGCTACATCGTTTTTAATGCTGATCACTTTATACATATACAGGAGATTACTTAATGTTAGTGCAGTGTGGGTGTGTGCGGGCGGATGTATATGTAAGGTTGGGCTTTGCCTTTCAATATGTAGGAGCTTTTTGATTTGACACTAGAATGGATTCACTCGTGCATCATGCATGACCATTCTCCAATCCTGTGCACAATGTAGATTCAGCCAAATTCCATCATAGAATCCACACAACGAGATCTTGTATATTCTCGCATGTACTGATGTCTTCTTAGTGAAGTCATTACCTTCTACGTCCTACCGTCGTGTAGTCGAAAGCTTCCTAAGGTGTTTTTGCCATCCCTGTATGTGATGTCTTCCCAGTAAGAACCATGTGCATGGGGATAGGTTTCTATAGTGTGTGCTACACCAGGCTTTATTTGTAAAAGGTCAGACACTGATTTTTTAACATTTGACATATGCAAGCATGCCATCTTAGATGCAGCGATTGTGAAAATAATCATCATCCTAATTAATTGTTAATGAACCTGATTATAAACCATACATTCAAATTTATTGCATAATATAATAGACAAATAAACAAGGACCATATTATGTTTTTTGGCCATTTTCTTTAGATTTTCGATGCAAAAGAAAATTATCACTGTACAGTTACTGTACTTATATTCAAATATATAAATTCAACTTTAGCTAGTTAAACATTTCTGCAAATTTTCATTGGATTTCCATAATGAGCTGGTGTGTAGTTTACCTTGAGGTAAATCCATTACAAACTTTTAATGTGATAGAGATTTTAGTCATTCTGTGTGGATCTGATGCCACTAGACATCAAGACATTTGTGGTTGTTAGTTTGTGGAGGGTGGCGTTGGGGAATGTGTGCCTATAACAAATGGGAGTGGCGGCCTTGGCTGTTACATGTTGTTAAAATGGTGTCGTAATTTGATAGTCACCATCTCGGTTTATATTATTTTTCAAAATGTTATGCCTAAAGGCTGCTTCTATGGATGCGGTAATGATAACCGTGGTAAAAAATTGAACGTATTGTATTGTTTAGATTCAGATATATATTACGTTGAAATGTCAGTGCATCATCAATGATAATTGGTTATATGCTCCGTTATTTAGTCGCATCAGGTTTGGATGCATATGGATCATTGTTTTCCGTTACCGCATCATGTGACTGCGTCAAGTGGAAATCGGCCTTTATACGCGAATGCAGAAAGTAAATAAAAATTGCAAAGGAGAACAGGTTGCATGGTCGATATATAACTTTTCTGTAAGTGAACTATGCTTAGAATTACATTTAAATGTAGGCTCTAAAAATGATTATGGGAACAATTTGGAGAAATGGTTGTGACTTTGGCTCTCAACCTTGCTGTATATTTTGCCTAGTGTCCTTGGCCAAGGCACTTTACCTACTTCTCGCTCCACCCAGTATAAATGGGTACCTTTAGGATGCTGTGGCATTGAGTGCTACTGGTGCATATAATAAGGCCAAGTAAAATTTATTGTTAGTTTCACGTACGGAATTTGTTTTACGGTAAGGGGGTTTAATATTTGCTATTAGCTATTTTTCGACAAGCAAACGACTGTCACAAAAATAAACAAGACTTACTGTAAGACAGAACATAGGGCACTTTTTCCTCATTGTAATAAGAAAACTAATGTTGAAATTACAAATTAAAAAAATTCTAAAGTAAAAAGTTACATGAAAAATAAAATCATATTTAAAGAAAATTATGAATTAAAAGTAAAACCATAGAATAACTCGATGTCAGTGAGACACAAATTAGGGCTGGAATGGTAATAGCGAGGGTGACGTGACAAGTTATGCACCATAGAACCCAAACCCGAATAGGTCAGTGTATTTTTAGTTAATATCTTGCATAGTGTTATAGGTTGAGGGTGAAAAAACGTTCGCATTTCATTAAAATTTTGCATTAAACCTAGCTGTAGTTAGTTTGAGACACTTTAGAAAATGCAAATTTTTTTAACATAAAAGTTTAATATTCCTGTTTATTAATATTTAAAATATGTAGAATGACATCATAATTGTATTATTATGTGTAAATCTGATGTATGGTCTTTGCTTGGACAAAGTTTAAAGATCAAAGCACAAAAAGTTACTAAAGCAGTGGACAGAAAAACCCCTGTGTAAAAACATAGAAAAATGGGATAGGAAAAAATCAGAAATTTTCCGCTGATGCCCAAAATAAACATTGTATTGTACAGTAGTCTATCAATCCAGCCACTGATTGCACAAACCAGTGAGTGTATGATCGAAGCAACTCAACATTGTTTCCATTTGTTGTTAACATCGACCATTTTTTCAGTTTTTAAAAAAATACTGAAATACTGAAAACTTTATTGGTCCAAAAAAGAAATTTGTTGCATTGACAAAGTTTGTAAATATTATAAAAATAAGAAAAAAAAAAATACATGTAACAGGCACAATAAAATGTAAGCACATATAAAAATAACAAATGGTAAAAAAAAAACCATTTGTACATGTAACGGGGACGTGAAACTAGGCATTAATTTCATATGGCCTAAAATGTATTGCAACATGATTTGATCTACAGTACTCCCTGCAGTGGCAACAGCGGAAGTTGCACTTTTTGTCGGGTTGCCAAAATTTTGGATCCAGCGACCAGGGCTAAATATGGCCTAGCATTGCCTTGTCTTGTAAATTGTATAACCTCATGCTGCTTCAGACATATTTAGTGCCTGCAGTTTTGTATTTAAAAATGGATGTTGGTTTACACTATGCAATCACAACATGTTTTATAGTCTTAACTTTAGAGTAGAATGATTTTTGGTACAAGTGATGAACACTTGGGCGCAGCTTCCTTTTTCCCTGATCCATTTAGGTTATAGAATGTTTCTTTCCCGTCTTCAGCGTTTTAGAATGTTTATCCTGTCGTCATCATATTAGCTTATTATACTGTATATGTGAGGTCTCACTACAAAATAAGTCTCATCGTTAGAAAATCAAAAAATGAGTTTATATTATATTTTGTTAGATCACATTATAAGCTTTAATTTGATCTTTGAATGGCTTCCCTAGGATAAAGAGATCCAGAGATGTTAGCATTTAAAGTTTAGCTGTATGAGAACCAGGTTTTGAGAAAATCGGCCTCAAAGATAAACTAACCTGTACAAATAATAGGACTAGAATTACAGAATATGCACAGAGAACACTGTTTTAGTAAGAAAATTCAATTAAAAAGTACACAATCATAAAATATAAGTATTAAATAATTCGAAAACATTAAAATCAAAATTTTGTAAAAATGTTGCCTTTGACATATTTTGGTGAATATATATGCGTCTCATTTCGTGATGAGACCTCGAAAATGTTCTCTCATAGATAATGATACAGATAAATTCAAAACAAGCAAAGATTTCAACATTTTTGTTGAAAACTATATAAATACTTCTACTGTAAGTCATATATATTTTTTTGGAAGAAGAAAAAAAAATGTAAATGTCAGTTAAATTCTTTTACTACTGTATCTTTAATGCAGTTTGTTCATTCACTGAAGATATAGGAGAGGAAATTTGGTTGTGAGAATGTTGTCAGAGAACATCTTAAGGAAAGCCATGGAAACACCATTTTAATTGCCATGGGGTATTTTATTTTAAGCTTATTAAAGATATAATTTCTATCTTAAGTTTGTTTCAATGTTAAGACTGCAATGCAAGACAACATAGTTATTCATTAAACTATATTCTCTACATAGTAAAAAAAACCACAGAAATTATTCTTATTCTTTAGGCCAAATTGCCAAAAATAAAGTACATTACAATGGTGGTACATATAATAATAATAATAATAATAATAATAATAATAATAATAATGGTAGACTTATATAGCGCATATTGTTAAGCCCTCTATGCACTTCACATTATCATTACCCCGGTCATTGGATTAAACGCCTATGAAACACAAACTCAAGCTCCCTGGGGCAGTATTTCATAATGTTGCAGCAGCTAATCAGCACATTTTGGCATTTAACCTACAGTACTAGGTACCCACTTATACTCTTGAGTGGAGAGAAGCAATGCAGATAAAGTGCCTAATGACACAAGTGAAATGTACAGCAAGGGTTTGAAACCCCGACCTTGAGGTTGGGAAACTAAATCCTTCTCACTGCGCCAAACCGCATCAATTATATGGAATACAAATACAATAAATTAAATGAGCAGGCAGGGACACAAAAGCGGTAATCATAATAACAAAAAGTCTGTCGATATCACTCATTACAGTAAAAATACAATATTATAAATAATATAGTCCAATTATAATACAATTCTGAGTTAAAATGAAATAATTTTCCAATAAAGCATATCAGTTGCCTATGACACAGTAATAACCATTCAATATGGTACACTGTATCAGTTTCAAATATCTGAACAGTGTTTGGAAAGAGTGAAAGTCATCCTATCCTTTTGAGGTCCTCAAAAAGCCAATGACAAGCATTAACTCTTGATGAGTCTGTGCTT